AGATTAGCAGAACATCGCAATCATATACGTAGAGTTACATCCACTCGATCTGTTATCACACTCTACGTATAAATCGTCAATCCAATGGTCTCAACATGCAAACTGACACTAAGGCTTTAAATTATGGATACATAGAAATTCTCAATAAGTTATAATATGTTTATTTTTATTGATCGATATGCTTTGTTCGCGCGACACATCTCTCTTTATATTTAACGCGTAATATGTGACTAACATCAGAACGAACATGACTTTCTTTTATGTTACTTAAATTATTTTTCAATCTAACTTTGCCATCGTAATATTTAAATTGTTGTAATGGATTGTCGATGCTTGGATCCACTTGCGATCGTTGTTGGAGATGGGGTAAGTTTCAGACTAACATACATTAATTAAGCAAATTAATATCCATTTATTTCAAAAATATCTCGTTGCTATTATCAGCTTGAGTTCCACTATCTACTCCACTCAGCTAAGCAACTGGTTGGCACAACATTAGACTATTGTTGAAGACGGTTGTCTCTCACCACATTTCCACTGCGCTTACATACTGGAGGTCGGAACTACGATTGTGCGAGACGCAGTTCGACAGATTTTATAGTGCGATAAGCGGTAATTTTTTATTGCTGAGGATGGCTCAAATAATAAGCCGAAACATACAAAAGTGAATTTTTGATTTATGAATAGGTATTAGTTAGCTTTACGCAATATTATATCCGGTGCTGACTCCTAACGCCCAGTTAGACGTTTTGTTATTATTATTTTATTGTATTAATATAAGGAGTCTATAAAAAAATTTTTATTTTTATGAAATTGTTTAATAAATTTGGAATTTAACAAGACATTACTATAATAGAATTCTTTTTAGATTCGTAAAAATATAGTCGCACGTGAGTGAAAGCAGATTTGTAATTATTACATAGTGCTCGCAAATTGCTCAACAATAATAAAAGGCTAAAGATACTTTTTAATCTTGAATAACTCACAAAAATTCCATTATGGTCCAAGAAAACATGAGTATATATTAAAGATTTTAATTGATTAAAAATATTATTTAAATATATATCAATGTGCGTGTCACATAAAGAGACATATTGACCCTCGTGACGTTTAAAATAATAAATTGACGATTGCTTTAATTGCTTTAATAATCGTATATTACGTGACGTGTGTACTTCAAGAGAAAGTATTTGTATCGTATAGCTGTACGATAAGTGAAGAAAGTTTTAAGCGGAGAAAGTATCGCCACGCACGTTTTGAAAATGTAATATACAAAAATTCACGCGACGTAGAATAAATTATCTCGGTTATTTCGAAATACGGCAATAAGATGTCAATATTATATAATCGAAAGCAAAACAATTTAATGAATTTAATGAAACAAAAGTCATGATTCTTAGCAGCTAGAAAGCGAAACGTTTTTTATTATTAAATTAAACACGTTGAAAAAGAGAAGGAGAAGGAGAGGGGGGAGGGAGGGAGGGGAGAGAGAGAGAGAGAGATAGAGAGATAAATAATATAGAATAAAAAAATAAAGAATCACAATGCATATTTAAAACTAGAACAGTAACATTCACTACACTATAAAAAAAATGTGACTATTAATAGTGTCAATATTAGAATTATGATGTGATTATCATTTTCCCCATTGTTACATACACAGTTATAAATTTGAATTGAAATGTCGATTCGGCGACGGAGCAGCAATCATATCTTATTTCTACGTCTCCATAATATTTATATTATTCCCAATAATTTGTATGACAAGTTGCTTATAAAAAAACATTAATAACAATTTAAATTTATGATTTTTGTATACATACATATTTTTGTGTTTCCTTTTTCTGGGAATTGTATTTGTATAGATATAATTAATTATACTAGTGTCCAGTAAAATATTACTTATGTTTGCTATAATGTGCCATTAATAATAGCATTCATCTTAGAGAAAAGAAGCATTTCGCTGTATAATTCTTCTTTATAATACATATAATCAGACGTAAGTATGACAGCGCTCTATAGGACGTATATTTTATTATTTATGCCTGACATTTATTATGTAAATGTTTTTTTCAAATTCATGAACGAAATAAATTATTTCAAATTGCAAAATAAAGTAATGCAAAGCGCGCGATGGAATTTTTTTGCTGTAATAAATATTGCCTAAATGTAGGATTTTAAAAGAAGTTAAAAAAAATATTTTGAATACATATACTTATATTATATACGATCATTATCTGGACGATTTTTTTTATAACGGATAAAAACATTCATAATATATAACATAATAAAATATAAAACAATTCAGATAAGAATATAAGATTGTATAAAATCAATAAAATACGATACAATGTAGTATGCTTGCGTGTATGCAGAGTTGTGTACAAAATAAAGCGAGAAATACTTCCAAATATACGGGGTGTTTGGAAATTAGTGATAAGTCTTTCGCACAGGGGCTTATCATTAATTTCCAAACACCCTGTATATTTTAAAATTCTTACTTTTATTTAATCAAAAGTCGCGCGTTACGCAATATTATTTTTAAATATGCGTAATAATAATAACAAATTATTTTGCTTTACGTTGGAAAATGGACACGATCATTGTAATTTGATTTGAGTAATAATCAATGTCTTATTTATCCGTGTGTGCCAATTACACGTACTTTTATGTACAAAACTTAAGTGTGTCGACAGCACATCCGTTGTAAAAATTGATTGTATTATTCATGTCCCAAGAAAGGAAGTTGTGCGTCACAGACGGTATCACGTAGAACAATACGTACGTGCCTTCGTTCAAATTGCATGACCGATTCTACGAAACATTGCTTTGTAATCATTTTGTATAACATTTAAAAAAATATGAGTAATATATCTGATAGTTTAAAGAAAAATCTATTTAAGTTGAAATTTTATATCATACATTAATATTATATTGTATATTTATAATTGTGCTTCCTTGATTTCTTTTTAAAACGATGATTTTTGTCAATCTCACGCGAAAGAAAATGATTGATGTGCGTATAATTTATTATGCTGGTTTATTTACGTAGTAAATAAGTAGTAGTGAATAAGTGTGTGTAAACGGGTGAATGTGAATAGAGATCTCTGTCTCCGAACGCGCTCAAGGAATCTTCCGTGGTAGAACGAGGGAAAGCTTCAGCTGATTATTAATGTATGCCGTGACATTCACATGATTTGCAAGCGAATAACTCAAGATACGAAGCGAATGCTCCCTAATGAGAACGAAAGATTAATCATGCAAAACAACATAGAATACGCTTCTCTGTGCCTATCTCACAATCAATAAGATGTTCTTATAATAGTAAGAGCGTGTCTTAAAGCGATCAGAAACTCTGAAGCAAAGAATTTGGTGGTGAATTTGGTGGTTTTCCATTTTCCTTCAAGTACGTGGAATATGTTGTCAAACTTGACTTGTTGTCTCGCTCATAGAATGAAAGATTAGGTGAAGCAATTGTATTTATTATCACTTATTATAAAGAAATTTACAACTTCTAAAGCAATTAACATTTCTCCAGAGGTATTTCATGAAATTCGGTTTTTTCTTCTTTGGTGAAAGAATTTCCCTTATTTATTTTGCTTCCACATTTCTTCGACCCAAGCATGCGTTTATAGCTTTACGTCATAGTTAAACATAATAATTATTGTTATCTCATGTTTATTGATCCAGCATTGATCGGGCGCGACGCGTTATGTAAAATGTGATTAAGGAGAAATATAACTCATTATCACCCATCTTCCTCTTTTCCTCGCTTGTTCCCTCGACGACATGAAGAAAAAACAACACTAGGTCATTGCTGCAACATCCGCGCGTGCTCGTCACGCGTCATTTACGCATTTTGTATGTCGCACAATAGTCTGCTCATCAGCTATTACGTGATTAGCTTTAATGCAGTCGTTCTGTTATCAATTTATCATTAAAGCAGTTCAAGGTTTGTTTGAACGAGCACATGTAATGTTGTAAAATAATGCACAATTGTATGATCGTATCGTTCTATAAATTCTATTCGTCTGTCCTATATCTATCACTTCCGTGTTTTCACAAATGAAGAGATAAGTGTGATCTGGAATAACCAAAATTTTTTCAAATCGTATTCGGCTTTCATTTCGTCGTCTTCCGTTCGAAGATTGAGAATAAAGCAAAATTGAATAAATGAACAAATGAATAATAATAATAAATGAACATAAAGTTCGTCTGGTTAATTCAATTAGATATATTTATAGTATGCACAAAAGATACATTTTATATATTTTTATAAGAATCTTAGTAAAAATTCTGAAAATGAATATTAATAATATTGTGTACATGTGTTACTATTTTTGTAATGTGTTGACATTAGCATTTAATATGTTACAGATAATTATCTTACATATCTATTAAATTCAGAAATAACTAGGTATATTCCTTACTTATCTAATTTTAATAATTTCATGTGCAATAAATGCATAATTAACAAAACTGGATTTCCTCGGAGAAGGTCACGTGTATATATGTATATATATATATGTATCTCTGTTATAATTACCATTCTATATTTATATGTAGGAAAGAATAAAATTGCATTTTTCTTACTTGCAAGGCTAACTCCAATGCAATATTTTATATTTTATTTCCTTTTACAAAGTGTATTTTTTTAATTTTTTTATATAGTCCTCATATGTCTTTTACTTTCGCGTAATTAAGATGTCGTGTTATCTAAAGTCAGTGATTCTAAAAGCAGCCTTGAATAAAATGACGTTCCACATAAAACAACAGCCCTAGTTTATTAAATAAATTTTGTGATCGATGTAATCCAAGGACGTTAAACGTTACATGTTCCGTAATACGTATTCACGTTGTTCTTTACCTCTCGCACACTCTTTATCTTCCATACGAATTGAGCTATAAAGTTAAGGAATCATGTCCAAAGCAAATTAACAATGAATTATCGTGCATTGAATGCAATGATGCAATCATATAATTGCGATCTCGTGTTGCAGGCGAGAAGGAAATTCTGCACGGCATAAACGGCGAATTTAAGTCCGGCGAATTAGTGGCTATTATGGGGCCGTCCGGAGCTGGAAAGTCGACGTTGCTGAATGCGCTTGCTGGTTTTACGTAAGTACCATAAAGACATGAGGATTGCTTCTTAAATATATGCTTTAAACTTGACACATCCATAGATCGCCTATAAGTTTAGATATTTATTCCTTTTTTATGTTTGCGCGTATTTCATCTATACACTGTTGGAAATGTTCTTAAATTTCATTAACTTTTAATGTACATTGATGAATGAAGTTTAATTTCTCTGTAACTGAAAGGACTATTAATGCACATGTTAATGAGATTTAAGTTTACAGTAACTGAAAAATTAAGTGTAATGAAATTTAATATACTTTCACTTTAACTTAAAAGTTAAGCGTATTGAAATTTAATGTACTTTTACATTTACGAATATTAATAATATTTTAATTAAGCCTAATACTATTAACGCTTAACGTTTAATACATTTACGTTTCTTACATGTCATTAACGTAAATTACTTTTCAGTTACAGATCTCGTACTTTTCATTAACGTGTAAATTAATTTCTATAATAATGTGTAATACACACGTTCATCACATTTAAGACTATTGTAATTTAGTTTTTATTTACATCATTCATTACATTTAATTTCGTGCATAACCACATGCTTCCTTTACATGTTAATTAAAATTCATTGAGAAATTTCTAACAGTGTACATATTATTATGTATTCCTTAATTATACTTACTGAATAATTCAATCATACACTTTTATTTTTATTTGCATGTCTCTCATGAGTGGGTCAAGGGTTAAAACGTCCCATTAGGCGGGGGTACGCAGTATAGAAAGAACTTGACCTTTGGCACGATAACGCCTTGACTCATAATCTCAATATTTGTGCTTGTAAATGGTATCTGATAAATATCCACGGAATATAGTTCTCCAAGGGACATCTTAAGAACGTCTTTAGGATGTAGAACGTTCTCTGAACAATCTTAGAAAATCTCTTAAAGAACTATATATGTAGTGCGGATAAATTTTGATTATGAAAATTGAAAAAAGAAAGTTTTAGAGAGCGCTGTATCTAATATTTAATTCATTATTTTGTTCCGTCGCGAGATCTAACGAGTATTAGAACGAAAAACATTAGAAGACACACATTGTCGATTACAGTGGCTGCGTTCAGCAGAGAAAACTGCTTACTGTGTGTGTGTGTGTGTGTGTGTGTGTGTGTGTGTG